ACGCAAGACAGCTCGGATGTTCAGGGGTACTTGCTTCTCATATACACCCTCAACACTAGGATGATTGAAGAGGAGTGAGAACTTTTCGCTCTCGTTGAAGTAAACATCTTCCGATACAGTCAACTTGAAGAGATGGCTGGATGGATGACCATTGGGAAGAGTGTAATTGACCTGTTCGACTTCACAGCCTTCCACTTCGACATCGGGAAGATCCTTACTCTTGAGGTTGAGGAAGACTTGTCGAGGAACATTGACCTTAAGTGTATGAATCTTGGCATCGATTAGGACATATGCCATGACAATACCAGGAGTCTCAGTCGCTTTGAGGTGCAAGACCTGCCAATTACTCATGTAAGTAGTGTGTGCCTGCTTCATGAATGTTTGCTGGAGATTGTTGACTGCACCGCCTCTTCGGTCACCAAACAATTGCCGTCGACGGATTCTGGCTTGCTTCTGCAACTTCCACTTCTTCTTCTGGTACATCAAGAATGCCTCATAGTTCTCCGAAGCACTTGGAATCACTCCAGGAAGTGCAGACATGGGATCGGGGTTCTCTGCTGGCTCAGGAGACTTGCGCTTCTGAGCTGTGGTTGCAGCCTGAGAGGATGCAATGACTGCGTTAACTTGTTTGGGCTTCAAAAGCTTGTTACCGAAGTCTTCTACGTCATCCAGTCGAGAGCCACTAATGTTGGTGATGTCTTCCAGTGGACTCTTTTTGAAAAGATCAGTGAGCTTCTTCTGCTTCAGTTTGTCGTCCTTGATGTTGATCCTCCTTTGAAGCCAGTCAGGATGTGGCACTCGAGGTACAGGGTTGCGGACCTTTTGGAGAGCCGCAGGAATGGTGATCAACTTCTGGATAACAGAGCCCAATCGCTCCAGGTAATAATCCCAGTCAAGCAGTGCACGGGGATCAGTGTCAGTGGGCTCCTCCTTCAGCCACTTCCTCAGATATGTACGTTTGACAGATTCGTCCGCAGAGAAGATGGCCACCGGAACAGCTCGTTCTGTAACAGGTGCATTTTTGGGTCGAGCGCAGATGATGAACTTGCAGTTCAATCCCTTGTCCTTTACCATCTGCTCACCTAAGAAATCTGCCAAACGCTTGGCAGTTGTGATACTGGTTGACTTCTGGTTTCCGTACTCCTCCAGTGTTTTGGACATGCTTCGATTCTCAGAAATGAGTTCCATCAGCTCCTCGTCTGCCAACGTTGTGCCTTTGCTGTGCAGAACATCCAGCCAACGGTTGGCAACCTTGGCAACAGCTCCATAACATTCGGCCAGCGTTTCACCTTCGAGGAAAAACTTGAAAATCTGTTGCTGGAAGATCTTGATGAGCTTGAGCTCACCACGACGTTTCACCTCAAACCCTTTCAACTCAGCCAGACTGCCGTCATCGTTGAAGACAGCGTAACGCTTCTTCAAGTTTTTGTCTTCTTCTTTCGATGTGGGCAGAACCATGGCTTTGTATGGACCATCGACTTCGAAAAAAATAGAGTTGTCGCTGTGTGTTTCGTACTTGAGGGTCTTCTTATCAACGAGTGTCTGGTATTGATGGTTGGTGAATTTTGCATGGACGTGGTGGTTAAGCATAACGCAGGGATATGAGATGTTGAGTTTCTTGCCGCCCTTGAGTTTGAAGGAGAAGTTCTCGGGGAAGGTTGCGGGAAGCATGCACCAGATACCGTCGGTATCCAATTCCAGAGGTCGTCCCAGACGTTCGACCAGTTGTCGAGCCATTTGAATAATGTGAGCACCTGTCAAACAAGTGACGCCAGCCATTTCGAGTGAGTACCAACGAGATCCCTTTCTCATCACATATCCGTAGAATGAGTTTAGAATAACCTTGTGCGCCAATTGCAGTGAGTCGTAGAGAATAATCATCTTCTTGGCAGCATCAACCTCGCTCTGAGCAGCACCAGCAGACTGCAAGGATGACGTCTTTCCTTTCCAAACCTTGGCTTTGCCCTTGTAGTCATATCGACGATCACGGAAGTCTCGTACAGTGTTGATATAAAAGGGGTTCTCTCTTTGGCAAATGATTGCCTCTCGCACAATAGTTGTTGAATCATGGATTTTGTGGTAGACCTTTTGAGAATATAGCTGAAGACGTTTTCGTACCAGATTGGCTTGCTCATCGGCACTGAGCTCCTGGAACGTTCTCATAGGAGAAGTGGGGAATTTACCAGGGAACTTCTCGTTCTGAAGGGCATTTTTAATCATGTTATACTCATCTCGTTTTGGGGGCAAGTATTCTCCTCGCCAAGCCCAAGGTAACCTTCTATCGCATGTCTTTCCTGGTCGATTGAAGTCGCAGGCAGCACAGTCGGACTCTTGAATCATAGAGTCAGGCTGCAGTCGGTTTGTCGTCATGATGTTGGGGTACATCGATGCGACATCCAGATGGTAAATCAGGGGTTTTTCGTTACGGTTTGGCGCTTCTTTGAGCTTGTTCAACCTCTCGACAATCTGAGCCTTGACTTCTTCGTAGTTCTCTACATCATCAAAGTTCTTGTTCTCCTCAACTGTGATTACGAATTTGAGGGCAGCATCTAAATCACCGAGGAGCTCGTCAATAGCTCCAGGGTCGACAGCAAAATCCACTGGGATATCAGCTCGAAAGACTCCTGCTTCGATACTTTCCACGTGGCCACCGACGTAGGTCTCTGAATCGAGGAGATGTCCGTCCCAGAAGGCCTCTTTTGGTGTGATATACTTATTCGGAAGTACAATTTCTCGTTGATATGCTTGCACCATCAGCAGCATCTCACAGAGTGTACCAGTTCCCTTTCTCAATACTTCATCACCACTCAAAGGTAGAATTGTACAGAGTGAGAAAATGAAAGGGTGTACATATTTCATGTATAGATAATATGTTGCAACGGCATCGGAGACGGAGTATTCGGCGAGTGTTTGGGGTCGCTCAGTCGCGTATGGTGTCATCAGTTCGGGATCCAGCTCGTCTGGGTCGTATCCGAGCTTCGCGACAGTGACGGCTTTCAGACCACGAGAACCTTGAGGCAGATACGAATCTCGGTTGACCCAATGGAAGCAGTCCATGTGCACACTGTAGTTACACTTGTACTGATCCTCGTTGTCCTTCTTCCATCCAATCTCTTGATACATATCAATTCCATTGATGCTAGCCCGTGCTTCCACAAAGGGCCAATCAAAAAAGTCACCGTTGTAAGTCGCAATGACGGTAGGTCGTGCCTCCTTGATGTGGAGGAAGAATCTCTCGATGACAGCCTTTTCATCAGGTTCGTTGAAAATCATGAATGGGCCCGGGTATTCTGGTTTGGGTGTGTAGTCGAAGTCGCCAATGTCTTCTGAAAGGATTTGGCGATTGGTGATTAAGAACCCTTGGCCATCAATCATGTAAGAAATCATGATAATCTGGTCGGTGGCAGCATCAGGGAATTTGAGAGGCAGCTTTGATGTTTCAATATCGTAAGCCATTACTACAGGTTCAGCCGGCAACGACCTCTCTTCGTTTGGGTAAATCTTGGTGATACCATGTTTGGCTTCAACAAAATACCACTTTCCGGCTCGTATATCTGGGTGTCCAGGTCAGCAGGTAATTGGCAAGGGTTCAAGGCAGAATGGAGGGCTGCATAAAAGCAATAATCAGGGCAATGGTGAATAGTGGTCTCATGGCCTTTGAGGGCTCTGAAGTAGCAAATACTTGGTTGCAAACATCATGTAAAGTTTGTAGAAGAGTGTGGACAAGGGCAAGGGTTGATCATACCTAAATCTATCATTACTCGTACATGGTATGGTACATCATATTCTCTTATATCGACGATAAAGTCGCTCGCATCAGAAAGGGCAGTATTCATACTTCGGTCGTCATCTCGTGAATCATCAAAAAGGTCGAAGTCGCCATTTGAGCTGTTTCGTATTAGCTTGATCTTGCCAAAGATCAGTTGAGCACTTACGTTGCCACCTCGGCATAGGCATCCATAGCACTCATATTCTTCTTGTTCTTTTCCGCGATAGGCATGATATCTTTTCTCGCAGCCATGAGGTCATTGACATTGGCAAACCTCAACTCCAGAAATGTCCTTCGGTAACCGAGTAAGTGGTTGGGCATATTGAGATCGTCTTTCTCGACTCTTCGAATTGACTTGACAACGCCACCTCCGGCAACTCTCTTGACCCATTCCTCAACCTCAGACTCTCGTCCTTTCTTGACAGCGATCAAGAAGTATGGGTCAAATTCCACAGTAGCTTTGAAAGTCGAGCCGTCTTCTTCGATAAAATAGCAGTCGATAGCGGCTCGACCACCCGGTATCCGTTCGTCCTCGATAGATGTGGGTTGAATGTTGACTAGCCAGCCTTCTCTCTTCTTTCCGCTCTCGTAACGCGCAAAGCCCATGTTCTCGTCAATGCTGTGTGCTAGCCGTGTTCGTTCCCATTTCTCGTCTGCCGACGTGGCCTCGTTCCTGGACGAGGCCGCGAATGTGCGTGTTCGGTTGCCATGGTAGGCAACTTTCCCTCCTCGGCGGAAGCCCTTCTGAGGGCGACGAAGACTTGTGTTAGGCATTGAGTGTTCTGGGGGGCTCCCCAAAAGGAGTGTGGCTTAACGAGCAGCTGACGATGCCAGGTAACAGAGATTCGACATGGAGAGAGGGAAATTGTAAAAGGGCAGTTAAAACAACACAGAAGAAAAAGAAATTGAGGAAGGAAAAGTTGTTTGCAAAGTCAACACTGTATCTGTGGGAACAAAATAAATGAAGGGAGTCCCTAAAGCCTGGACCGAGATTGGATAAATTGGAAGCGTGAGACGCGTTCAGACGCGCCCTCGCGACGCGATTGAACCCCACTTTACTTTAATGGGCTTTCGACAGAGCAACGAAGCGTGCACGGGCCATCAAGGATCCCGATGCAAGCCTTGCTTGTCAAGCGTCATCGGTCTTATCCCACGTGCTTCTAAAGAAAGTCGAGATTTGGCTGTACGATCTTGTTCATGACACCAATTGCGTCGGCAATTATAGCCAGGAATGGCCTCAAATCCACAGGATGGGCAACCGATGCCCGGCGATAAGACCCTGCATGTCTGGTCGAAACCCATAGAGCAAAACGAAGCTACTACAGTCAACGGTGAACATGGAGCGACACCGACGAATACTAGGCCAACTATTTCAGAGGCCGTTTCTATGATCAAGAAGGATGATTTCACGAATGTTGCAAATACCCCCTGTGCTCGACAAGGCTTCATCACAGGAATAGCATCCGGTGCCGGTATTGGAGGATTGAGGTTTGTCCTCAAAGGTGAGTGGACAAGTTGAACTTTCGGTTTAAGGCATGGTCTAAAAGGAGTGAAGGGAACCCCGGTAGCGCCGCGAACTGGGCTGTTGGAATGTTTGTGCTTGGAAGCATGGCATCATACGAATGGTGCCAGTATCTACGCCGCGAGGAGCGTCGACAAATGAAACGACACATTGAGGTGGTGTCAGAGAATAGGAGAGAGCAAGCAAGAAAGATCCAAGAAGCAAGGCGTGAGCACGACAAACTGGAGGCTGAAAAGAAGGCGGCAGTAAAGCCATGGTATAAGGTCTGGTGACCATCAGGATGAGCACATAGCCTCTCCTATGTACTATTATTTGTGTATGGATGTATATCTCATGGATTGGATATGGCTTGTAGATAAAACCTCAAGAGCAAAGAACAAACCTAGACAAAAAGAGCAAGTATAAAGAAGTACTTCCGTGAATTGTGCACCAGATCGTAGTAGTGCTGTATGATCCTTAAAGACCAGGGTATAAAGCGGCTTGATTAGGCCTTGAATGTATTTGCCAACAATCCCTTCAATTTTCACCACCCGTGAATCCCCATGAAAGAACCATCACATTTCTTCATGTTTAATACGCCGCTTCCTCCAAGCCAACAAAATAAAGGAACGCCAAAGTAATCGTTAAAAAAAAAATCTATAGCCGCTGCCAGCGTCCCAATAAGCGTTGGCGCCAAATAACATTATCCTGTAGTAATCGCAACGTTCGAAGCATCCGTGTCCGTGAATCTGACCTTTCGCGGTGGTGACTGCTCCTCTGATCGTCCAAACTTGACTCCTGAACCACGGCCGCGTCGCTGACTGCGTCGTGCTCGTGCCTCACTCTCTTCTCGTTTGCGATACTCTGCCATCTGCTGTCTCCGTCTCATGGCGCGTGCATGCGCAAGAGCTGGCGTGGGTTTGAAACCGATACCGTTGATTCCAATACCGTCGTCATCCTCATCATCAGGGTCGTAGATGGTGATCTCGTCTTCATGCCACGTTAGCGCAGCTCTGACAGGGTCGACAATCTGGACTTCTTCTTCGTCTGGGTCCTCAAAAGGCCGCCGAGAAGGGCGCTTCATGCGGAGTGGCGGCGAGCCCGTTCTCTTCTTGACTCTCGATTTTGACTCGGAAAGCCTGTTGATAGACGGGTATGCATGATGCAGGCTCCCGTGGTTTTGCTTTTGTTGCCAGGGTTCTTCGTGCACGCGACTTTTGAAGGGTTGCATTGGTTCCTTTGATGGTATGACAGACTTTCCGTCAAGATCAACCACTTCTGGGACAGTTGGAGCTGCATCGCTCATAATCTCATCGGGTTTCTGTCGCTTCCTCATCGACTTGTCCTTATCCATGAGACTATCACTGTCTTCGTTGCTGACTGTTGCCCCGCCCCCACTTTCCAGTGCAAGACCACGGAACTTGTGAGCAAGGACCCTTGATCGTGAGCTATCGCTGCCATCTTCTGTGTCTGCTTGAGTTGGGGCTGAAGAAGGGTGAGAGGAAGACGATAGAGGGTCATGCACAAAGGTGAATTGTATAGGAGATGCCCAGGTTTCTCCTCCACGCTTGCGTTTCGGGGTGCTAGAGATGTTTGCTGACGCGGTGGCCATGGCCATAATTCATTGTTTGACAATTCAGGACCAGGACAAGTCGAGCCGGGTCCAGGCTGAGGACCTTAGGTATTGTCGAAAACAAATTCGATAGCTCGTTTTTGTTGTTAACAATGCCTTGTCGAGGTCCGTTGAAGGGAAGATCAGTTAGTACCTAGGTAGTTTGAGCTGAGTCGATGGCACCTGAACTATCGGTTTCGGTTGCGCAAGCACCACTTGCTACTTGTGACCTTCTGTCAGTACCAGGCGTGCTTCACTAGTAGTAAACTGAAAAAGGGAAGCGCGAGTGGCAGTGCGACTTGAGGGTATATTCCAATTGAACCTTGTATTTTGTGTTCCAAGAATGACAATAATAAGAATATTATTGGATTACTTTACTGCATGACTACAAACACAAAGCCAAGTAGGTAAGTATCAGGTTCGTAAGAGCCTCGTGATTAACCCGCAAATTCAGCGTCACATTCGGACTTTCGGGTCACGTTGGATCTGGTTGGACCAGCATCATATCGTAGATCTGCCGCTGATCGCCAAGTCTCAGATGTTTAGGGCATAATGATAGATACCTAGCATGGGCAATTCGAATGATAATGAAATATGAATATGTACAGTTGTTATATAGAAGTTTGTACTATGTGCAGGGGGAAAAAACCCTTACGCCAAAGCTATCTGATGCCGGATGCGGCGTTGTTTTATAGCCCCTCCAAATCCATACCCTAACGCCATTGTTTCCCATGTCAAACCACCCCAACACCACTAATGCCAGATCTCAGGCCACGGTGCCGTTCTGTTGTGGCTTTTGTACATAAATCTGGCAATGCCGTATTCCCCCCCCTGATTTTGTTACTCTTCGCTGAGCCTGGTGTGAAAATGAAATGTCCTAAAAGGAATGCTAGTCATAGAAATTTGTGACGAAGATAGAGTCATGACCAAACCGGTTGGTCTGCTGATAATTAAGCATAATGTCGTGTATGATGAGTTCTATACATTGTGGATGGCCTATATCATGTTAGACGGCATAACGAATACAGGCTTTGGTATCCTCATAACTTACGCGAAGCATCTTTGCCCTAGCCCCAACGGTATCGATGCCCAGATGCTGCAAGTCCTCGTCTTCTAGATATGCAACTTGAGCTGGAGACATTCCCAATAAGCATCTTTCATACTTATGCAACCTCAAAGCTCGAAGCCATTTGGCTGCCCATCGAGGATCTTGAGAGTTGTGTGGGAATACTGGCATGATCCATTTCGGCTTTACAGGAGGCTGAATGATGAGTTGCTCTTGTTGCTTCCATAATTCTCGCTTGCGGTCTTTGAGTGCCTGTATCATGGGCTCAATTTCTCGCAGACTTGGTAGTTCTGCGATCGATTGGAGGGCAGATGACCTTTCACTATCGTCCAACACTGAAAACCAGGTTTTGATTATTCCCATCTCGTCTCCAATCTTGCCGGTATCTCTTCCTGAGGAAGACACATGATGGTGGAATGAAAGTGAAGCAGAGCTTGAAGTTGGTGAGTCCGAGTATGAGCTCGATAGACTTGAAGAATATGAAGACATGATGCTGAAGGCGTGCTGTGTATGATTCGTAGTCTTTAAATGAGGTTAAATATCAAACACAAGAAGAAGAAAATAAAAGTAACATCAGAGGATATTCTGCCTTCAAATATTGTAGTTAACTTGTAAAGCGCTGACGAGGCTCTCGACAGTCTTGTATGTGGTGGATTGATCTGTGGCGTGGTCGATCTGACGGCGACTGGGGCCGCCTGGAAATAAATCACCTCAGGTCATAAGTTGGTTGGAGCTGGATTGAGCACGTATTTATTAAGGAACTCTCCCAGATGCCAAAAAGCCATCATTCTCGTCTCAGGCCGCCCTGACTCTTTCAACCAACGTTCGATCTCCTATGTAATCACAGATCCATTATGGGCCTTTCTGGTACGGCCCCTCGGCGATTTCGACCAACTCGTTCGTGATCGTGGCAAGATCTTGACAGAGATAAAGACCATACTTCTCTTTTCTTTCATTTGAGCATTATATGGTGAATGTCTATGAATTTAGGGTGGTGAGAGAGATATGAGCAAGTTATTTCTCCTTCTTCCTCCACTCACTACTGCCCGCCCATACATCAAATGCCGGCTGAGACCTCAGGTCGTGGCCCCTGTGGAGTACTTCACAAAGCTTTAGTATTGGTCCCGAACTACTTGTGACTACTTTGGTTGGGCAAGACACAGCTACTTGAAACACGGTGCTCTGACATTATTATGAGACAATAGTCTTGTAAGTGAACAGCATGAGGAACGATCCACTGCCAACCGTCTTGAACAGGTTATGTAGGTCAACCTTGATGGCTCGATGCTTTATTAGACTAGTGCAGTCCACAGTAAACGTCCTGGAGAGTAGGCTATGTTATCGCACCTCTGCGCATGAGGAAAACTCCAGACCTTAGATCAGGATAAGAAAGTAAATAAGCCAAACTTTATGCTAAATTTAGTATTACAGTATTATCCGAGTCTTTCCATCACTTAGGACACCTGCTCAAGGTTTTATGTCACCTTCTAGCTGCCTACACAAGATTCATGCCAATGTGCCACCCTATATCCTCACACCTGGAGATGGTCGGAATAACCAGTATGCATTCCTTGAGCAAGGTCGTAGTATATGTAACTTCTCGATCTAGTTTCTTTGAATTTTTAGTACTATATAAATATACTTTGCCGCTGTTAAAAAAAACCAGTGATACTAGATAAATGATCCAGGTCGCTCGCAAATAGTCTACTGGGTACACCAACGACTTACAATTGTGATTCCGTTTACTTGCCACATGCTACTTTAGTCAGGAAGAAGCTTCTACAAGATATCTGCAACAAATAATTTCCCACAAGGATATCAAGATACACGCCGTAGGCCTATAATGGCCGAGACAATTCGACCGCAAAAGTGCTTTTACGGGCATCACTAGAAAAAAAAGCTTGTCATGTAAAAACTTCCATTTTATATATCAACTATGGTCCGTACAATCGACATATATTCAGCCGCAGCAAACAGTGGTCTCCTCAATCCCCTTGGCCTTGTCCTCAGGGGCTGCCAAATCTTCGACGTTGATCCTTACAACGAGCCAGTCACAAAAGAACTTGCCCAGGCCAGCACCAATAAAGATGCTAATGATAACATAGCCGTTGAAGTACATGGCCAAGAGCATAATGATGTAGGCTCCCGCAAAAGTAGCAGCGTGGATGAATGCGCGGATGAATTGCTGCAGAGGTGAGGCTCGATATGTAAGTGTTTGACTTGTGGGAACGACAGCTCCCGTGCAACCCGCGGCGGCGAGAGCAACACTGTGAGTAGTGGCTTGCCGTTGAAAGCCACGCTGAAGAAGGGCATCGTATTCCTTGCCCATACGACGGAAGAACTCGACGAGAATAACGAGGAGGATAACGCCGACACAGGTAGCAGCCATCATGCCCTGGTTCTTGATTTGCCATGATGAGGCCAGGAAGCACGCATCGATTGTGTTCCAATTCCACAACATCTGATGTTATCAGTCAAGGACAAATTGGTATATTTTGGTAGTAAATCTTACGTCGACCTTGCAGGCAGCACCGCTACCGCCCATTCCTCCATGATCCATGATGAGTTGTTAGGTTGGTATTCTCACTCGAGTTGAATAGTGGTGCTTGGATGATGAACACGGTAATGGACAGTGAATCTAACTTGAACTGAACCAAGACTGTCTTGTTTTGAACCAGAAAGTGGCTGGTTGGGGAGATAAGTATCCCTAAGGGGAATGAATATCAAGGAGTTGAGGTTCCACTGAGAAAGATTGAGCTGTTTCCAAGACTTGTAAGACTGCCGGAGAATTACGAAGCGACATGCAAGAGCAAAAATAAGGTCAAAATTTAAGGTTATGCCGAAGGATGAGGGAGATATTAATAACGAGATGTTCTTCCAACCCTGATTCGATCCTTGATAATACTACAAAACCCAAATCTAGGGCTGGAAAGCTTCATGTTCCGTCCACATCCCAAGGTTTGCCGAGCTTGGGTGGACTCACCTGGTGGAGTCGGACGTCGCGACGGCCCCATTATGGAGTGAAGATCCCAGCAAAACGTGCTCATTCCTGCTCAACTCCTCTTGAATAGTCTCTCGCTTGCCTCAGCTTCGTATGTTTCTTTCTATCTCAGGGTATCATTTCTTCATCAGGGTCGTTCCGGCCAATCTCCAAGAGGGCATTTTGAGCAAGTAATCAGGAAACAATTCCCCAATATGGCCTGGCTCCCGGCGCCAAGTAGATCTTATTATCACTTCGTACCCGATTATCTCGTAGTCCCCAAACATGCTCATACTAAGTCGTCAAGGCCGTGGCGGCGGTCGTTTCTTCAGTGGAGACTCGGCCGATGGGTCGATTCTTATTTGTATCTAATGGGAACTCGTCTTTTATCATTCTACTCCAATCTTGATACTCAACAGTTATCTCTTCTCCTGGTTCGTGATATATGAGATAGCTACAGATCGCCTATCCGTTGATCTGTTGTTCCACCATTCTATGAGTAAATCAATTTCCTCTTGACGCATTTCTACCAGTCTCATAGAACAGCAGGACCACTACCCTTCACGATGGTGTCTCTCAACCAGCTGGATGCTCGCCACATCCAAAACATGAGCGAGGCCAAAATCCTGGAACCTCACTGGGGATATGCTGATCGCGCTCTGCCTTGTACAAACGATAAGGGGTCTTGCGAGTATCTCGACCTAGTCTATTATGCCCACGATCTAGGCATGCTCTACTCCGGAATCCTTTGGGCTACTATCCTCGCTGTCTTCTTCCTTTGGGCTATTTTGCGACATTTCGGCAAACCCTCTTTTCCGGCTATCGCTCTTGGAGCAAACCCAAAAGCCGGTCTCGCCAAGGTCCGCAGCAGTCTCAGCTCGTTTACACGGCAATATCTCCTCCCAGATGCCTGCCAGACTATCTTTGGCCGTACCACTCGCTTTCAGGTTGCTGTCATGC